CCTTTGCACTGAGCTACATCTTCCAGCCTTTACTATTATTATTATTAATTTTTTGCATTATAGTTTTTGGACAGAATCTCGCTATGTAGTTCAGACTGGCCTTGAACCTACTAGGTAGCCCAGGCAGGACTCAAACTCATGGCAAACCTCCTATCTCAGTCTCACAAGTGCTAGGATTCCAGGCGTGCACCACAACACCATCCAATTAAAAAAAAAATTTTTTTTTGTTATTGTTGTTTTGTTTTGTTTTTATACAGGATCTCACTGAGTTGCTAAGTTGCCAAGGCTAGGCTCAAATTTTCGTTCCCTCCTGCCTCAACATCTCAGAGTGCTAGGTGACAGGCACCACCAGGGCCTGCTAGGGACTGGGATTCTTGAACAAGCTTCCCATTCCTAAAGATCTTCATCCCCCTGGGGCATGAAAACTCCAGTCAGGTGTCCCAGCGAGGAGTATGTGATGTCTGGAATGCATAGCCTCTCGTGTCCCATTGGGTGACATGTTGAAGTTGGTCCTCTACCTATGCTGGTCTGTCCCAAGACACTTGTCATGAGAATTAAAAGGGTGTCTGTGTGGAAATATTAAGTGTTCCTGCACTTATCAGGTATTAGTTAAGTAAATTTAAAACATTATGGAAGCATTCGCATGATGCTCACCCTGGGCCAGGAATAGCCCCAAGAGCTTTACAGGCATTGATGCACTTAATCATTACTTCTACCCCCAAGGAAATAGAATTCACCTATCCCCATCTATAGATTAGAAAGTGGAGGAGTTACATCACACACCTAAAGTCACCATTTAGGAAAGATGGGAGCTAAGAATTCATTCCAGGCAGCCTGGCTTTGGTCCACCTACTCAGCCATTTTGCTAACTGGCTAATAATTCAAGGCTGCCCTATATGGTGTTCAAACTGTGCCCTTCAAAATACAGGCAATACTTACCACTTGCCAGAGTAGGCATATGCAACCTGCAACCCACCTCTTTTTTGGGGGGTGGGTGCTGGGGATTGAACCCAAGCCCTTCTGAGTTACATCAGACCTTCTTGGCACTTTGTAAATTTTTGAGACAGGGTCTTACTATGGTGCCCAGGCTGGGATTGAATTTGCAATCTTCCTGCCTGAACTTCCTAGACTACTGAGATTAGAGGGACGTACCAACACATCTGGTTGCCTGCACTTTTAAAATGTTATAATAAAAATAATTTAAAAGGAGGTAAATGATCTACATTGTGTATTTTATATTAGGCCCAAGACAATACCTGGTCAGGAAAAAAGAAAAAAAGGCAGGCTTCAGGTTGGAGTTAGGCCCTAGATTAGACTTGACTTTTTACCACAGTTTTCCAACAGATGGCAGTAAAATGCTGTGTTCTAGTATTGGTGTCTCACCATTTGCTGACAGATGGCTTGGAGAGGGAGCACCTCTTCGAATTCTTTCTTCACCCATGTAAATATAGGCCATGTACATTAAATGCACATCTAGTAGGTGTAAGGAGAGAGATGTCTTTATCATGTAAGTTGGATACAGTGTCACAGCTTTATTGAAGAATTCAGTTTGCATACTTTTTCTGTTGTTCGAAAGATTGAACCGAGCTATATCCTGGCCTCTTTTTTGAGGCAAGATCTTGCTATGCTATTCAGGCTTGGCTTGAGCTTTCTATCCTCCTGCCTCAGCCTCCCAAAGTTCTGCAATTACAGGGACAAACCACTGCACTGGGCTGCACATTAATTCTGCTAGTGGTTAGATGTTCAGGTGAACTCAGATGAGCCTGACAGAAATCTATCACTAACACCAAAGGCAGGGAACAATCCGCCTTTGTGTTTTCACAACCATGAGTAGTAAACATGCCCACAGTAGAAAAGGAGCTCCAACAAGGTGAGACTGGAAATAAAAGGCCACTTTTCTCAATATTGTCAGTGTGATTCTTTAACACAATGGCAATATTTAATTAATTTTAAATAATGTTATTAAAATATTTTTCTATTGCTCATTTGATGCTCTTAAGCTATCCCTTTCAAATTGAAAGTAATTTTAATTCTTTTAATACAGTTTTTTTGCCAGGCATGATTGTCTACACCTATAACCCAAGCTACACAGGAAGCTGAGGCAGGAGGATCACAAGTTCAATGCCAGCCTGGACAACTTAGCAATACCCTGTCTCAAAATAAAATATAAAAGAGCCGGGCATGTAGCCTGGTGGTAGAATGTTTACCTAGCACACTGGGTTCAATCCCTAGTCCCACATACACACACAAAAATGCAGTTTTCCAGGGGCATTCTATCACATTAGTCGTGTGTGTGTGTCTTAGTTCAGGCTGCTATAACAGAACACTATAGACTGTGTAGCTTAAACAATGAACATTTATTTGTCACAGTTTTAGAGGCTGGGAAGCCCAAGATCACCAGCAGATCCAGTGACTGATGAGGGCACTCTTCCCAATTGCCAATTTCCAGCTGGCCATCTTCTTGCTGTGTCCTCACATGGCAAGAGCAAAGATAAAAAGCAAGCTCTCAATTTTTGTTTTTTGAGACAAAGCCTCACTAGATAGTTCAGCTGAACTTGAACTCACAACAACCCTCCTGCCTCAGCCTCCCAAATGCTGGGATGACATGAGTGTGCCACCACACCTGGCCTCATCTCTTCTTATAAAGGTACTAACCTTTTTTTAATTGAGTTTATTGGTACATTTTAGGTATACAGTACAGTTACATTCATTATTGGGATCTTGTACCTTTACATGACAGGCCTTGGTTCTCATTTTTTCCCCTTATAAAGGTACTAATCTTATCCCAGGGCTACATCCTCATGATGTAATTGCCTCCCAAAGTGCCCATACCTAAATATTCCACTGGGGCTTATTGTTTCAATACATGATTCGGGACAGGGGACAAACTCCCAGTGTATAACTATACAAGTTGGAATATACATCTTAGACATGAATAAAATTTCAGATGCCATCAATGATAAGAAAATAGCATTATTGGGCTTGGGATGTAGGAAGAGTAGAGCAATTACCAAGCATACACAAAGCCACAGGTTCAATCTCCAGCACAAAAGAGAGAGAGAAGGGGACAAGGAGGGAAGGGGAGAAAGAGGAGGGGGATGGAGAGGAGAGAAGAGAAAGAAGGAAAAATGGATTATTTTATGTACCACACACCAAAAAAGGCAAAAATTAAACTAGGTAGCACAATTTGAGTCAGGTGTGGTGTTGTATACCTGTCCTCCCAGAACTCAGGAGGCTGAGGCAGGAGGAGGATCACCGTGAGTTTGAGGCCAGTGTGGACTACATAGGGAGTTCAAGGCCTGCCTGAACTACATAGCAAGACCCTGTCTCAAAAATACTACAAGTAAATACAATACAATAAAATAAATTAGGTCACACAGCCGACTATAAGATGAATTCGGATTCCAACTAAGTTTTTCTTAAGTTAATGAAATGCAGCACATTCATATGAATTCTTCACCTGCCAGCTGCCCCGTCACTACATACAAGGGCATCTATGTGCTGACTGATGTGGGACATTTTACACTGGTGGCTCCTGGTAACTCTGCCTCCCAATTTTCATGCCCTGGGATAATGTCCCTCTTGTTATTCTGGGGTTGGCCATGACACTGACTTTGGTCAATGGGACATCAGCAAGCTCAGTGCAAGTGAGGGTGTTGTTTGGAATGCTCTCTGGGACCCCTTAACCACCACACAAAGAGAACCCTGGACCAGAGAGAGAAGATGTTCGGTCCATTTCCAGCAAAAACCAGCCAGGTCAGTGAGCTGGAAATGGACTGAGCATCTTCCCTCGAAGGAAGTTGGCTTGTTTTCCTCCTAGTGCAGCTGGGAGCAACCAAAGCAAGACAGCAGTGCTGCCAGCTGAGCCCAGCTCGGGTCTGCAGAATCACAAGGCAGTGGTGGTTGTTTTATACCTTAAGTGTTGGGATACAGACACTGGTACCTGCCCTGCAGTGTGCTAGTATGTATTTGGCTTGTTCATGAGAGGCTCTGAGTTAAGTGGGCTCTGACGAGACAAGGGGCTTCCTAGGGCGATGGCATTTCGGGTGATTCAACTGTGACAAACCCAGAGCAGTGGTGGGAAAGCTAGCGAGAGCACAGTAGAGTCCTCCATCTTAGTGTGGGTTTCTCCAAAAGCAGACATGGGCAAGCACCGGAGGGCAAATTTATTAAGAAGGGTTGAGAACATTGGTAGGGGAAGAAGGAAGAGACACAGAGAAAGGAAAACAGCCAAGTGCAATGCACACACCTATAATCCCAGCACTCTGGGAAGCTGAGGCAGGAGGAGTACAAGTTCCAGCCCAGCTTGGGCAATTTAAAGGACTCAAGTCCTGTCTCAACATTTAAAACTTTTTAAATTGACTGGGATGTAGCTTAGTGTGAAGGCCCGGGGTTCAATCCCCAGTACAAAAAAAGAAAAATGAAAGAAAAAGAAAATAGCCAAGAAAGTGTGTTATCAATCCTGAGCACTAAAGAGAACGGGAGCTTCTGATGGGGGCTCAGGGAGCCTGAGCAGTACATACCCTTCTGAGACACCCTAACAGGGAAGCGGGGGACCAGAGTATTTACACCCCATCTCCTGTCCTCATGGTTAGGGCCTCTGGGATGAAAGCAGGCATGGGCTCTCTGCGCCCCCCCGCTTTTTTTTGCACTGCTGGGGGTCAAACTGAGGGCCTTGAATACTAGGCAAGCGCTCTCCCACTGAGTCCCACTCAGTAAACTCCTGGCTTTTGAGGCTTGCTGCCTCTCTCAGAGGGCAGAGTGGTCTGAGGGTGCCCACAGCAGGAATGTGGCCATGTGCAGACCAGGAAGCGTACTCATCGGACATGGCTCTGCTGGCACCTCCATCCTGGGCTTTTCAGCTCCTAGAACTGTCAAGAATAATCCACAGGTGCTGGGTGGATAGACAGGTTAAGGGTATGGTACTAGTGTCTACTACGTGCTCCACCAGGCACACACACCCAGATGTGACCCCTCGATGCCCCAGAGATGAGACAATGCAGTTCTAGTTTGAACTGAGTTTAATAAGATGCTTCAGAGACACTCAGGTTAGGGGAAGGGTTCACTAGGACTGTGGAGGTCTGTGACGCGGACCTCACTGAATTCTGAATCAGAAAGCAGGAGAAAGTAGGTCACAAAAATCCCAGAGGGCCTTTCCTACATCCCAGGGCCTCAGATAAAAGCGGTATGGCTCCTCAGGAGAGCTGGGGGCCATTTGAGGAGCCCTACTGGGCAGGTACTAGAATTGTCCTGAATGCCACAAAGGGGATGACATCTTCATTTCTGGGTACAAGGGGCTGAGCTGGGGAGAGGACGCTGGAAGACCCTGGTGGGTAGCAGTTAGAGGGGTCTGGGCGTTTCACAGAAACAATCAAGGGGTCTCGATTTCACAGAAATCATCAAGAAGGATCCTTGTGGTGGGGGAGGGGTCGTATACCACCCCAAATATTGGGGACTGTGCACCCCCCCAGCAGCCATTTTGGGGTTTTAATGTAAGACCCTAATGGCAAGACGGTCCACATACATATCACGAGTTTGCATCATTAGCATACGCTGACTGTCCCACAGGACGGTGGGGACTGGAAAATCAGTCCAGGTCTGAGTTGAGTCCTAAGAGGACAAGCCTGGGGGTGCCACACGGCTCCTCTTCAACAGCTGCCGGAGCTGGGGACAAGCAAGGGAGAATGAGAAGTGTGGGTGGGTGGAAGGAGAAGTGGAGAGAGTGGGTGCAAGGTACAGTTAAGGGTCAGACCTGGGGAAAGAGAAGGGACAGGTGTTGCTAGCTAGGCGTTGCCACCTTGGGGTCAGCATTGAAGGCAGTGAAAAGGTCAGAGATAAGGGTCAGAAGTCACATTTGAGGTCAGAACTCAGGGATAGGAGTCTGGAGGTCCCAGTGGGGGAGGGTGGAAGCCACGTTCGGGTCGAGACTCAATCAGGGTTGGGAGTACAGGTTACACTTGGGTAGAAGTCAGGAGACTACACGCTGAGGGAAAGGATCAGACAGCAAGGTCAGAGGTCACACTCTGAAGTCAGGGATGGATAAGGGTTGCGCCCACCCTAATGTCAGGGTTGGGTGAGGCAGCTCCCTCCTCCCCCCGCCGGCTCAGAGGCCACTCCATCCATGTGAGGCTCACCCCGTCAGGGCCCGGCCCAGGTCGCAGCAGGTGGATGGGCTGCTCATTCTCCAGGTTGCGCAGCGTTGGGTCTGCCCCAGCTGCCAACAGGTGCCGTACGATGGACTCCTGGAGAGGTCCAGGGGGCAGGGCCGCTGCCATGTGGAGTGCTGTGTTCCCGTGGGCCTGGCACAGTGCAAGGCGGGCTGATGAGGATCTGTGCTAAGCTGCCTGGGCCCCCACAGGCTCTCCATCTGCCACACCACGTCCCACACTCCTCTTCATGTCCTAGATGTCTCCCTCCCAGCCACACTCCACTCAGCTTTGCGTCTGTGCCCCATGCGTTCCCCTTCGTGCCCCACAGCCACAGGACCCCAACACCCCACTTCCCTTTGCTCCCAAAACTCACACAACCTGTTCCCAGCCTGGGTCCTCACCTTCATGTTGACAAAGGTCCGCAGGTCCCCCCGGGGCAGTTCCAGCAGCAACTGAACCAGGGTAGGGTTGGCAGCCTGCACAGCCAAGTGTAGAACTGTCTTGTTGCTCTTGATCTCCTGTGGGTACGGGAGTGGCAGAGGTCAGGCCAATCCTCCACTCAGACCCCCTCCTACGGAACCCAGGACCCTTTAGAGACCTTGACCATCCTCCGCAAGACCCATCCAAGGGTGCCTTATATTGTGTACTACATAACAGTACCATGTTCAAGGGGCAGCAGTTCCTACCACACAAACTGCAGAACTGTACACTTACTATGATAATTTTCTCATGCTAGTGTCAGAGAAACTGGCTCTTTTTTGTACTCCCTCAAAGGATCTCTCCAGGGAGGCATTTGTCCTGGCCACCTGCATTCTATTTAACACATTAAAATGCACCCTGTCCCATGCAGACTGTACTTTCCCCAAAAGGACAAAAGTTGGTAGCATTTCCTGGTGGACTCACTAAGCCATATCCACTGCAATACTGAGCCATTCTCTCCATTTTTTTAGAAAAAATAAAAGTTTCTAAAGTAAAACTTTACTACGTGCCTCTAAGGAATTTATGGGGTTTTTTGTTGTTGTTGTTTTGGCTTTTGTTTGTTTGTTTGTTTCCCTCCTTGCAGTACAGGAATTGAACCCAGAACCTTCAGAATGAGCTATGGAACCCCCAATCCTTTCTAAGATTTTGAGACAGGGTCTCACTAAATTTCCCAGGCTGGCCTTGAACTTGTGATCCTTATTCCTCAGTCTCCCAAAGTACTGAGATTACAGCCACGTATCACCATGCCTGGCAAAATTTATGTTCTTTAAAAGTGAGTTAAGAATTTCATGTGTTGTACAAGGAAACCAACCTAGTTTGCTCACCAAATAAATAATGAAGAAAAGAAAATAGATGGAAGCAGCTTTATATTAAAAGTAATTTAAATCCTGGTGTGGTGGCACATAACACTCTAATCCCAGTACTCTGGGAGGCTGAGGTAGGAAGATCACAAGTTCAAGCCCATCCTGGGCTATTTAGTAACTCAGTGAGACCACAATCTCAAAAAATTTTTTAAAAAAAGGAGCAGGGCATGGCGGCGCACGCCTATAGTCCCAGCACTCAGGAGGTTGAGGCAGGAGGATCGCTGTGAGCTCGAGAACAGCCTGGGCTACACAGTTGAGTTCCAGGTCAGTCTCAACTACATAGTGAGACCGTCTCAAAAAACCAAAATAAATAAATAAATAAAAATTTAAAAAAGGGCTGGAGACGTAGCACAGCGTAAAGGTCCTCAGTACCACAAACTCCAGTAATTTCTAAAAGGGTATATCATTGTCATATGTGGACGTCATATCTTTTTTTTTTTAAAGAAAAATGAGTCACTTTACAGCCAAAAGGAAAATGGAACACAGCCAGTATATTTGAGATTAGGAGATCACCAATGTTTTAAAGGTAGACTAAGAGTACTGAGGATTAAAAGAGTTTTCTTTTAAAGACACAAGCAGCTCAGTGATATACCATGTACTCTGGATTTAATTCCCAGCACTAAGGGAAAACAGACACAAAAGCATAAAAATAATAATATAATTATATGCTTGGATTTGGATTTGCTTAAAAATAACATAGGACGATACAGCAAGGTCCTAGGTTCAATCCCAGCACTGCCAAAAAAGAAAAATAAATGACATAGGAAAGAGAGCATAGATAGGCCAGGGTTGGCCATGAGCTGCCAGTTACTGATTCTGGGTACACAGAGTTCATTTTCTATACTTTGCCTGTGTTCAAAATCCTTTTTTCCCCCCCAGTACTGGGAATTGAATCTGGGATCTTCACAGTGAGCTACATCTCAGCATTTACTTTTAATTGTGAGATAGGGTCTTGCTAAATTGTCCGGGCTGATCTCAAACTTGTAATCCACTTGTCTCAGCCTCCCACAGTACTGGGATTATAGAAATGTGCTAGCAAGCTGGGCTTGTGTTCAGAATTCTTGAACTAAAAAAAAAAAAAAGTATTTTTAACTAAGTGATACTTAATTCTCAGCCATCCTGTTAAGAAGTTACTGCCATGGGAAAGGAGGATAACAGGATTAGGACCAAGATTCTGGGGTGAGGTTCCCTGGATTCTATTCCTCTTTCTGATACACAAGCTCTAAGATTTCTGACTTAGAACCCATGCCTCTGTTTCCTTGTCTGTAAAATGGGGAAATAATAACAGTATCCACCTCAAATGGTGTTTATGAGGATTCAACAAATCCATGACACTCAGGATTGGTCAAATAGTAAGTGGTTGACAAATTTAACTTAAGATCAGTAATATCACTGCAAGTTGACAACTAGAGAAGTGAAGCAACGTGCTCAGGACACACAGTCAGAAAGAGACAAAGTTAGCATTTGGTTAGTGCCCCAGACACCCAAATGGCTCTCTCCCACATACCCTCCTACAGGGCAGCCACCCACAGCCCATCTCACCTGGCTGGCATGATCTGCACCCATGTGCAACAACAACTGGACGCAGGCCAGTCTGTCCCGGGCTTGGGTACTCAGCATCCGAGGACAGAGGCTGGGCGGATGCATAGCAGCATTGAGGGCCAGGATGGCTGTGTGGAGCGGGGTGAGGCCTGCAAAATGGAAACAGTAAGGGATGTGCACCTGGGATACCCAGTCTCACCTGTCACAAACAGCCCTGCCCACACCAGCTCACCTTCAAAGTCTCTGACTTCCAGGTTGACCTGAATGCCTGATTTAAACACAGCCTGAGAGGAAGAGGAGGAGAAAGAGTGCTGTGGAAAGGTCTCCCAGGCCTCCTAGCCTGGAAACTAGGATCTGAGCAACCAATCCACCCAACACCCTTCCTGCCAGCTGACCATACCGAAAGGACACCTGGGAGCCCGTAGGTAGCAGCCATGTGCAAGACAGAACGTCCCTGATGATCAGTGGCATTAGGCTCTGCGCCCAAGTTCAACAGATCCTCCACAATCAGTGGTTGATTGGCGGCAGCAGCCACCAGGAGAGGGGTCTGCAGGTCACAGGAAAAGTCAGTCTGGGTTCCTACAAGCCTCCCCTCTGAAAAAATGGAGTCTAGGCTCCCAGCCCCTTCCACCCTTGGCTCCAGGAATTCAGACCACTGCCCTCTTTTCTCCAGGATCTAGAACTCCAGGCCGCTAATTCTCACCTTGCCCTTATGTTCACGAATATCCAGACGTCTGTACATCTGCAGCACCTCAGCTGCAGCATAAGCTGCCCAGCGAAGTCCTCGAGCTGCAAACAGGTGGAGGAGCCTGGGGACAGGTGGAGGCGGTGGTGAGAACAGACCTGCTGAGACAGGAGGCCGCAGATGCCTCCCTTTCCCATATACTCACGTGTCTCCCTCCTCATCCTGGGCCAGCAGCTGTTGGGGCCCCAAGGCCAGCATCTGAGCTCGAGCTGTATCCAGGGATGGTCCCGTGCATGGGAGCAACTGTGGGGGTCCTGAGGGGAGCCCAGAAACTCTCCAGGATCCTGCCTGTTGCAGGGAGGGTTCTGCATAGAGGCGAGTATCCAGGGGATCCTGAAGGGTGCAGGCAGAGGAGACAGTCAGCTGAGAACCGATTCCCAGGCTACCCTGTGTCAAGCAACCTTGAACCTCTGAGCCTTGGTTTTGCCCATCTGGGGAATGGGGTCTTACCTCAGCCCCTGAAATTTTAGAATGCTGCATGAGGACAACTGGGAACTTTTAGAGGTCTTCAGTTTCCTCTCCCTATTCAATATCTCACCTCCATCCCCATGGGAAATGGGCCCAGCCTTCCTGAGTCCGAGGGTGGGTAGAAATCAGGAGTCAGGAAACCTTCAGCAGCAGAAGCAGGGTAAGAGCAGGGACTGTCTGTATAGGCAGCATGTGTGTTGGGGTCCCAGTCTGGAAAGCTTGTGGACGGGGGTAGGCTGCCAAATCCAGAACCCAGAGTCTCCTGGAGAGCTGAGAAGTGGGTACGGCCTGTGTGTGAGAGGAGGGGCAAGGCGGGCCTGGTTACCAGTGGAGGGGGCACCACAGCCAGGGCACCATGACTCCCAAGGCCCTGAAAGCTAGGACTTCAGGGACACCAAGGGGCTGGAGCCTAAAATCCTGGTATAGCATGGGGACAGAAGCCTAGACTACTGGGAAACCAAGGGCCTGGGCTCCTAAAGGACTATGTGAACAGATTACTGGGCTCCAGGTTTTACTGAGTCCCAGCAAGAACAGGGCCTTGACCCTTAGGTCTCCCAAAGTTCTAGGATTTGGGGGCTGGCAGCCTAAGGGAAGCAGGTGTTTCCATACTTACCAGCCTCCACCTCATTCACAGATGGGGTCAGTGGCTGGGCCGGGGAAGGGGAGAACTGGCCCTATAGAGACAGAAGCAAAAAGGAACAAGGGTGAATTTCTAGATCTGGCAGATTCTCAGCATCGGTCCCAAAAGGGTATCAGAGTGAGGACTACAGACTCATCAGCTCTGAGGGCCAGCAAGCCAGTCAATTCCTGACGGATATCAATTACATAGCCTGCTACACGGATTCCCAGGATCCCAGGGCCTCACCGGTGCCCCGCCGGCGTCTGGCTGCTGCTGGCGACGCCTCTGTTCTTCCAGGAGCTTCTTCACGGTCTGTGTCTGGCAGTGGCTTCGCTCACTCCGGCTCACTGTGGGGGAGGACAAAGAGAGTCATCGGGGGTCGGTAAGTCACCCAAGTGCGCCGGGTGCGGGGTGGATGTGGGCGTCCTCCCGCGCGGAAAAACTGGCACACTGATGCCGCCTGAGAGCTCCAAAGCCAACAGATTTTGAGCGCGGCGCCCGCCTCCGCTGTTTCCTTCCCTTTGCTCCGCACTTTCCCGCTGACCCAACTTTCCACCAGCTTCTCGGAAACGGAGGTAGGGGGAGGAGAGCGCCCCTTGACAGCAACCCCCCCCCTCCCGACTTCCTTTTAAAAAAAAAATCCCATCCCTTAATCACCCAGTCCTGAGGTCTGGGTGAGGGGTGCGGCGCCGACATCGTTCCCTCGGAGATGCACATCCAGGTCCCCAATATCTTTCTGCCCTAAAAGTTGACCCGCTTGCTACTCTCCCGAGAGCCCCTCCCCCAGGGACCACGAGTGCAGAGCCCCCTAACTCATCAGGGACCTGGAGGTCCAGAGCCCACAGTCCACCCAAACCTCCGCAGACTCAGGAGTCCAGGGCGCACCCCGCAGCCGCAGCGGTCTCGGAGCCCAGTACCCTCTTCCCTAGGACCCAAGAAGCCCAGACCCGCAGCGCTCAGCAGTCTCAGCCGAGTTCCGGCGAAGGACGAGTTAAATCCCTGAGGTCGACTCGGAAACCGCGGGACGCGGCGTGCTGACGTCACGGCGCTACGCAAGGGAATCTTCCACCGCGCCTCCCCCTCGGCGCCTTGCCCCAGGTGTGCGGCAGAGGCTGGTGCGTGGCGGAGCGTGGCGCTCGCGGAATCCCCACGCGCGGG